GTGAGGGCCCAGCTCTGTGCAGGCGAAGCTGCTGTGATCAGCTGGGGGCAGTGTGAGGTCTTAGCAGATAGAGCCACACAGCGAAGCCAACTAGCTGGGCTTCCAGAATGCAAACCACAGGCCATTTGCATGGCAAACCCGTGCCTCACCCTGAGCGTTAGTTTCCTGTGGCTGTCCTAGGAGATGACCACAAACTGGGTGGCTTAAAATAACCAAAGTGCATTATCTCACAGTGCTGAGACAATAAGTCCAAATCAAGGTTCTGGCAGGGCCATGCTCCTTTTGAAGGCCCTTGGGTAGAATCTTCCTCACTTCTTCCAGCTTCTGGTGGTTTTAGATGCTCCTTGGTAGTAGCCACATCATTTCAGTCTCTGCCTCCATCTTTTTTGTTTTGTTTAGAGACAGAGTCTCACTCTGTCACACAGGGTGGAATGCAGTGGTGTTATAATAGCTCACTGTAACCTCGACTTCCCAGGCTCAAGGGATCCTCCCACCTCAGCCTTCCGAGTAGGTAGGACTACAGATGTGTGCCACCATGCCAGGCTAATTTTAATTTTTTTTGTAGAGACAGAGTCTCACTATGTTGCCCAGGCTAATCTGGAACTCCTGAGCTCAAACGATGCTCCCACTTCAGCCTCACAAAGTCCTGGGATTATAGGTGTGATGGCCTCTGCCTCCATCTCCCATGGCCCTCTCTTGCGTCTGTTTCTCCTCTGTCTCTGTATGACCTCTCCTTTCCTTACAAGAACACAAATATTGGATATAGGACTCACCTTAATCAACATGACTTCATCTTAACTTAACTAGTTACTCTACAAAGACCCTATTTGCAAATAAGTACATGTTCTGAGGTTCTGGATAGACATGAATTTGGGGAGACATTATTCAACCCACTACAATTGATTCCATGTTCACAATTCCATATTCACGAAGCAAAACTCATCTTGTTTTGTAGAGCTGACTACATTGATCTATCACCTACCAAGTTATATTTCTTGACACAAAGTGTCGTTCTGGCTTTACAAGGTCTGTGTGCTTTTACTAAACCTCCACAATCATACCTTTCTGCAACAGGCTCTTCCTGCAGTTTCTAGATGAGAAGTCTCACCCATTTTTCTTTTGGTAGTAGAACAAGTATACCACGTTCATTTTATTTTCTGATGTACATACTCACACCTAGCAGAGCGCCTGGTATATAGTAGTTCAATAATTTTGTTGAATAAATTAATCATAAGAGTTAACATTTTATTGACCACTGTGCTCAATAGAGTACAGGAATTACTAGGTTTGATTATAACAGTGGCCCTTTGAGGTAAGTACTACTTTTCACATCATTTTGAAAATAGAGAAACTGAGGTATAGAAAGGTCAAGTGGCTTACCAAGCTCTGGAAAAGGGGCTCCATCTCGATTCCATGGCCTGGTCTCCCAGTGTGACACCCCTGCAGTATAAGTGGGCATTAGGTGGGATGGTAGCCCCTGGTCAGCTTGGTTTGACTCTCAGAACCTCTACAAGCAAACTGGGATAGGAGTGATGGGAATACAGTGTTCTCAACCACTACAGCTGGAGTAGAGCTTCTACCCTATAGGTGATGTGAACTAAAATAAAATCCTAACCCCTTTGCTGACTGAACAGACCCCCTCATGGCCAAGGGGACCCCAGAAAAATCTTAAAACTGAGTTTCCAGCCCTGACAAGATTGGAAGTCAGACATGACTCATTATGTCCTCTTCCATGCTAATGGCCACTGAGCTTTTTCATAAGGGCTAACCAGAAACCAATCTCATGGTCCAGACTAGCATTCTTTCCTGATAAGAGACCACAACCATGCAGTGGTTTTACCAGTCTGCAGAACATGCACAGAGAGGGGTTTTGTGTCCTTGCTTCACCTTTTTGATATAAAAGGGTCGCCATTTTGGAACATGGACCCCATAAAAGGGCATAAAACTTGATTGTGTAGGCACATGTTTCTCTTTCATAAATATTCATGACTCTTCCTATAGCTTGTTGTATATGTATATCTGGCCATCACACTCAGCATAAATTTCTGTTCCCTTTGTCCCTGCCTCAAACATGTGCTCCTGGCACCTGGCTGGGACCCAGTTTTCCAGTATGTTGGAATGGCCACCCGAAGGCTGGAGCCATTTATTAAAAAGAAAGCTCTCCTTTCCAAATTGTGAACCTCAATGTTTCTTCACTCAGCAGTGGGGTGCTAGTGATAGGAAGGAAGCCCAGGTTTTCTCAGCCACTCCTGCCTATAATAATGTTTCTGCAACACAGAGCTGGGGGTGGCAAAAGAGGCTGCTGTCCTGCCCCTCACAGGCTGAAAGCATAGCCCTAGACCACCAGCTGTGGGAAAAGTGAGACCTGTCTTCTCCACCCAAGTCTTGCACAGCAGAGATCTTCTCTTGCGCCAAGCTGGGTGAGGAGGATGAAAACAGATTACGGCTCAAATGCCACAAACTCACTGCTTTTTTAAAAAGGCACTTAAATAAATATTTCTTCATTCCATGTGTGCCCTTAGGAAAATTTCTAGAGGCTATAACCGGTTTGTTGTTGTTTTTTAAAATTTCCCCAATTAAATTAGTGTTCCATTAGGAGAAGAGTGCAGAAAGGCCTTGAAGGAGAGAGAGTTTTAATTAAATCAGATGAAGGAAAGGGAGCATTTCAGCCAGGGGAAAATAAACCAACCACAGGAGTGAAGAAATAGGGACCTCGGAGATGATACCTGGACTTATTGAGCAGTATACTGCACTGAGAAGTGGAGGTGCTATTGCATGGACAGCTCAGAGGTAGGTTTTGGAGGACTTTCAATGTCATCCTAACAAATCTGGTCTTTGGATAATAGGGAACCACTAAAAGCTTTGAGTGAGGGAATAACATGATGGAAACTGCATTTTAAGAACAAAAGCCTCCACCTTATGCTGTGTTTGCTTTGATGTATCAATTTTTCATTTTTGATAATTTATAAGTATTTTTCTAGAATATTTTGAAGAATGAAACTGAATTAAATTGCAGTAAGTTCATTCACTTCAGACATCCCAAGTTTTTTTTTTGCTGTCTTTAATGTTTTTAATTGACACATTATACATATTGATGGGGTGCAATGCGATATTTTGACACACGTATACAATGTCTAATGAGCAAATCGGTGTCATTATCATATCCATCACCTCTAATATTTATTTCTTTGTGTTATGACCATTTCGAAATCCAGCCTTCTAACTTTTTCAAAATATACAGGAAATTTTATTAATTTTGCTCATCCAACAGAGCTACAGAACACCTCGCTCCCAGGCAGACCCCGCCATTGTTGTGAGCCCCGCCCCCGCCGGCGTTGCCTAGGAACCCGCTTTGTGTCGTCACATCCGGCGCGGCTCAGCCTAGCAGAGGCTGCGGTTACAGGACACCTGGCCTGATCATCCGATGGGCTTTTTTCTCCCCGCGCTCTCCAAACCCTAAGGGGTGTCGTCCTGGCTTGGAGGCCTCAGCTGGGCCGGTCTCTGGGTCCAGTGAGGGGCAGCCTGGCTTCCCTCCCCGACCAAATCTCAAGCTTTATAGAAGAATGTGCTGAGGGAGGGCAGGGAGGAAGTGGAAGTGGAGTTACCTCCCTCCAGGAGAAAGGAAACCGAAGCCATTCATGCCGTCTTGAGTTCGGAGAATGAAAGACCGGAGAGACTTTGCCTTGATTCAGAAGAGAAGCCGGAAGCAGCCATCTGCAAGTTACCGAAATCAACCAGAACAGAAAGGGATAGAAATCAGCCACCTCAGAGCAAGACAGAGTGCCCTGCGGGGATTAGCCGGCCTGGTCGGTTGGGAGCTGGTGCTGCAGCAGCAACCGCTGCGCCAGCTTCCCTGGGTTACGGGCTCAGTCATCGTACTTGAGCTCTCTATGACGATGGCACAGACCTTGGTGGCGTTTCATCACAGCAAGAAATTGAAGAACTTAAAAAACAAAATGAACTCCAACAAGAAGAGCTCGATGATCTACAATGGAAGTTGATGAAGTTAGTAAACAGCACAGACGGCAAAGCGGACAAAGGTCTAATGAGAAACCTATTCGTTAGACATTTCCACACGCCAAAAAATCCGCATCATGAAAAAATCCGCATCATGAAGTGCTACGACTGATGGGAGCATCCCGAGTGTCAGAGAGGAGAAAATGGAGCATCGTTTGATGACGATGGAGGCGGTGTTACCAGGTGGATAACCCAGTGGCTTGGAGAAGGATCAAAAAGTGTCGCCAACACACCTTTGAGGCCAAATCAGCAATCTGTGCTTAATGCTTCTTTTTCAGAACTTTTTGCTAAATTTCTGTAAACAGAATCTCATCCATCTGTTCCACTGCCAAAGCTTTCTGTCCATGGTATGAGACCTCCAGATTCACCAGGAAGGAGAAAACTAGATACAAACAAGCCAGGAAGTTTTAAAGATACACTGCATCCAGGTGTGGGAGGCGAGCAGCTGTAAATCCATTCTTAGTTCCTGGCTCTGCAGCTGGGCCTTTTACTAACCTGGCTGGACTGGGACGTGGTGGCCCCCGTGTCGTCCTTTGAAACCCATCTAAGATGTTTGGCCCGTGTTTTCCAGATCCCTATCTCTCACCAGATTCAAAAATCTAGTCAAAATAGGTTAACGACTTAAATTTAAGACTGAAAACTCAGAAACTACTAGAAAAAAAACATTGGAAAATGCTCCAGGACATTGGTTTGGGCAAGGACTTTTTTCGAATAAGACCTTGAAAGCATAGGCAGCCAAAGCAAAAATAGGCAAATGAGATTACATGAAACTAAAAAGCTTCTGCATAGCAAAGCAAACAAACAACAATAAGAATAGGCAGCCCACAGAATGGGAAAAAATATTTGCAAACTATACATCTGACAAGAGACTGATAACCAGAATATATAAGGAGCCCCAACAACTCAATAGCAAAATAATAATAATTCAATTAAAAATTGGCAAAAGATCTGAATAGACATTTCTCAAAAGAAGACATATAAATGGCCAACATGATATGAGAAAAAATGCTCAACATTACTAATCATCAGAGAGATGCAAATCAAAACCACAATGGGATAACTTCTGAGCAGCAGTGAGAATCTGGTGGGTCTGTTGAACTTTTGAGAAGTGCCCAGGAAGGTGGGAACATGGAAGGGGTTGGTGCTCTGGGGGGCAGGCACCAGGGCCTTCTCCAGGGTCTCCAGACTACCTGCCCTGATGGTGCCACTTGCAGGTCTCATCCAGGCTCAGGGCTGACTCACATTCACACTAGTGGGGCAGTGAAGGGACGGTTACAACAATATGAATGCTAGCTAAATGCAAGGCTGTAACATGAAGTGAAAACAAAATATAGAATTTCTTCACATACTTCTATAAATATGTGAAAACCTATTTGTGACTGGTCAATTTCAGACTTGACAGTGGGGGTAGGGGAAGGGAGGAGCCCCAGATTCCTAGGATTAAGACTGAGAAACTCAAAAGAGAAATGCCTGGGAGGGAGCTCTGGGTAACCTATGTAGGGTTTAGGCAGGAGGTTTTCCTGGACAACTCTGGGCCCCAGTAGTGGAGACCCCTCCATGCCTGTACTCTCCCTGATCCAGAGCTACGCTTTTGGGTGGCACGGCCCACCTGCCATCACCCAAAGACTCCCAGCAACCCCCTACCTCCTGGTCTACAAGTTCTTATGTAATTGTCACCTCTTGGTGGATTGGGCTTAGTGAATGGCTCTACCCAAGAGAATATGGCAAAAGTAATGAGATGCCACTTCCAAGATTGAGTTATGAAAAGTCTAATTTCTGTCTTGCTCTTTCTACTCTTTGTTCTCTCTGTGTGTGTGTCTCCGTCTCTGTCTCTGTCTTTCTCTCTTTCTCTTCCTCCAACCCTCACTGCAGGGAAGCAAGCTGAGGTATTATTAGTTGCCCTACAGAGACCCCAGCAGCAAAGAACCAATGGAGGACCTGGCCTACAGATAGAAAAAAACTGAGACCTTTAGTTCAACCGAAACCTGCTGCTTACTGGTGAGTGAACTGGGAGGAAGATCCTACCCAGTCGACCCTCAGTTGAGACCACAGCCCCAGCCTCCCAAGAGGCCTTGAGGCAGAGACACCCAGCGGAGCCATGCCAGGATCCTAAAACACGTAAACTTTCAGATAATTATAATGCTTGTTACAAGCTATAAGTTTGAGCATTGTTGTCACCAGCAATAAATATTATTATATAGTAGAGTCTTCCAGGCCCTGGGGTGTGGCCCTGCCCTCCTGTTTCCCTCCCCTCCTCTCCTCCCAGGCTCCCTCCAGCCACACTGGATGCCTTTCTCACCTCCTCTGTGACCAAATTCATTTATGCCATCAAACTCTGAGGAATACAACTTCCCTCTTAGTACACTGTTCCCAGACTCGTGAAGGGCTGCCTCCTCTTGTCTTTCTGGTCACAGCACAAATATCACCTCACTGATGCTTTCCACATTGCATAGCTAATGGCCACTGCTCTCTGTCCCAGCACCTGCTTTGTTTCACTAAAGCACTTGCTATTCTGTCCCACATGCATCTGATTTCATGAAGTTGTCCATCTCCCCGTCCAGACCATGAGCTCTTTCAGGAAATGGACCATGTTGGTTATTTTCATCATTGTGCCCAGGCCTAATGTGGCCCCTGCATAGGGTGACAACTTGGGGGACAGTTGCTGTGTGAGTAAATGAGGTGATCTTGGGCTCATTCTTACCTCTGAGACGCTCACACTGTGGAGAGGAATGATGGTAATGAAAGCTGCATGTTGAGTCCCAGGTAAGGGGACACAGAAAATGAGCCCCCATGTTCCCAGCTCCAGTTGCTCCAGCAGAGCACAAATGGCACTGTCTGTCTCTGGTGTCCCCTCATGGTCACTGCAGCACCAGGATGAGTTTGGAGTAAACAAAACACACTTTTGTTTTGGTGTCCTCAAGGTAGTGTCTCTGTATGAACAACTTCAGGACAAGTAAGTGAGAACTACAGGCTCCAGGATGTTGGGAGGGACCTCAGAAGCCTCCCCATCTCCCTGTTTGCCTCCACTGCTCTGGAGTATCCAGTTCACTCCCCAGACCTCCTCGCCCCAGCCAGAGCAGTAACTCAAGCCTCACTCACAAATGGGGACCCCGATCTCTGACATGGATAGTCTTGTCCTTGGACCTCAGAGATGTAGTCTAATGCTTTCCCACATTCTGTACTACCCCAAGCACTTAGTTCTACAAACCCACAGGCTACTCTCTGCTCTGAAGGATCTTCAGGGAGTAGAAACCATTTTCCAAGGGCCTGGGAACACAGTGGGTAACTGATGAAGAACAAAGTCCAACAGACACTTCTCTAAGCCTCTGGTACCTTTGAGGTCACCCTGGCCAAGTGTCCAAATTTACAGGGGAGGTATTTGAAGCTTTTTCTCATGCAGCCTCCTGCACATTAATTTGTGGTCATCCCAGTTCCAGGTACCAAAAGCTGTAAACTCAAACCCCCAGAACCTGTCATCTTGAGGCTACCCTGGAGACGACCTAGCCCAGGAAGACTCTGAGGGAATCTTGGAGACTCTGCCCCCAGCATCTCTTATATATATTTGCTAAAGGGATATTTTTCTTTTGTCACCAAGAACAGAGAGATGGCAGTAAAAGAGAACATGGAAGAACACTGCAGATGTGGGGAAGGTCCCATTTCGGGGACACCTTAGAACTATAGGGTGTGTATATTCCAATTCATATAACCACAAAGAATCTCCTCTTAATTATGCATTGTGTAGCTCTTCCCTCCAAATTTACTCCCTTTGCTCTGGATGAAATCAGCTTAAATAAGAAGGATCTGAAAGAAAGAAAGAGCTGCCTGGAATAATGTTGATCTTATAAGTTCAACCTACCTGGGGGCTGACTGGGGACAGGACAGGAGTGAATGCTGGCCCTGCTGCTGTTCTGTTGTTTTTAATTTTTTTAAGAATTACAACATACTAAGGAGGTATAAATGTTTTTATTGCATGGATAGTGTATATAGTGCTGAAGTCAGGGCTTGTAATGTGCCTATCATCAGAATAGTGTTTATTGTACCCAAAGGGCAACTTTTTATCCCACATCCCCTACCAGATTACCCGCTTTTTGGTTTCCAATATCCTATATATCTTTCTGTGACTGTGTACATGTAATTTAGCTCCCACTTGTTAGTGAGAACATATGGTGTTTGGTTTTCCATTTTCGAGATACTTCACATAGAATAATTGTCTCCATTTCCATCCAAGTTGCTGCAAAAGACATTATCATTTCTTTTTATGGCTGAGTAGTACTTCATAGTGTGTATATTCACCACATTTCTTTCATCTGCTCATGAACTCATAGGTGCTTAGGTTGGCTTCACATCTTTGCAATTGTGAATTGTACTATGATAAACATATTAGTACAAGTATCTTTTTTTTCTTTTTTTTCTTTTTTAATAAAATGACTTCTTTTCGTTTGAGTAGATCCTCTGCAGTGGGATTGCTGGGTCAAATGGTAGGCCTATATTTAGTTCTTTGAGGAATCTCCACACTGTTTTTCATACGGTTGGGCTAGTTTACAATCTCATAGAGACTGTATAGCATTTCTTTCTCTCTGCTTCCATGCTAGCATCTATTGTTGTCTGACTTTTTAATAATGGCCATTCTGATAGGGGTCATATGGTATCTCATTGTAGTTTTAAATTGCATTTTCCTGATGATTAGTGATGTTGAGCATTTTTTCATATTTATAGGCCATTTCTCTATCTTCTTTGGGAAAACTTCTGTTCCTGTCTTTTGCCCACTTTTTTGTGTGTATTCAGGATATTATGGGAGTACAAACATTTTGGTTATATGTCATGTGTTTGCACTGCCCAACCCAGGGCTACAAGTGTGTTCCCTGCCCCATACAGTGCATTTCACTTCCATTAGTTTTGGGTTTGTTCCCCCACCCCCACCCACCAGCACCCAATGAGTATTAGTACCATGTGAACACCTTAGTGTTGGTCAGTTAGTACCAGTTTGACGGTGAGTACATGTGGTGTATGTTTTCCCATCCTTGTGATACTTCACTTCGAAGGATGGACTCAATCTCTATCCCGGATAATATAAGAGGTGCTAGATCAACATTTTTTTTTTGTAGTTGAGTAGTATTTCATGGTACACATATACCACATTTTATTAATCCACTTATGTATTGATGGGCACTTACGTTGCCTCCACATCCTTGCTATTGTGAATTGTGCTGCCATAAACATTCAAATGCCGATGTCTTTATGATAGAATGTCTTTTTTTCCTTTGGGTAGGTGCCTAGTATTAGGATTGCTGGATCAAATGGTATTTCTATTTTCAGCTCTTTGAGGTATCTCCAAATTACTTTCCACTATTTTGCACTCCCACCAGCAGTGTAAGAGTGTTCCAATCTCTCCACATCAATGCCAGCATTTGTTGTTTGGGATCTTTCTATAAGGATTTGCTCACTTTTAAATGGGATTGAATAATATGACCTGATTCTGCATTTATGAGTGAATTATTTGTGGTCATCTTTTATACCTATATATTAATTTTATATTCAAATTCATAATTAATATTGGCTGTTTTCAAGTTTCAGTAAAATGTATGTAATACCCACAGAAAAGCTTTCCATGGTTTTTTTTTTCCTGTTTAATAAAATAGATTTCAAAGAGAAATACCTGAACCTTAAAAAATATGAGGAAAGGGTCATTTAAAACAATGAAAATTTTGGTTAATGATTCCAGACACTTAAAATTTATCTTTTTTTAGTTTCTAATTATCTTTTTACTTCATACTTGGTAGCCATACTTTATAAATATGATTTATTCTCTCAGTTTTCTAATTTATTACTATACAATTGTTTATAGTCTTAAGAAGTTTAAAAACTTCATCACCAGTTTTCATAGTGTTCATTATTAGTAATATTTAAGTGTGTCTTTTCATATTTTTTCTTAACATTGCACTGGCTCTGTATATTTTATTATTAATTTTATTCATATTTATTATATTCCATGTAATAATTATTCTTAATTTCATTGCCTATATTACACTTTCTTCCTGCACATTCTTTGCTTTTAGCCTATGCTTACTTTTATGAATTTCAGAGATTGGCATCTAGCACACATACCGTCAGGCATTTTCTAGTTTGGTAATTTGAATTTTCAGCTATGCTATTTCACCTACATACTCTTGAATCATCACAGTAAGCAACTTGGATATGGAGAAATTCCAGTGTCTTTTAGTATAAATAATATCAATATTCATTAGTAATATGGCCTAGCTTTAGTTTTAATTTTTAAAAAATTTTAATATACTATTTAGAAAATGTTATAACCTAATGGGTAGAAAAGATAACCTCTTTGAGTAAAATATTTTATATTTGTTAAAATATTTTTTTGGATTAAATTATTTAAATTGATCCAAATGTGCTGAAAAATGTGGTATAAAGCCAAGGTTCAGTATTTGGCAATTCAGTCAAGCTTGTTTGTTGTATGGTTGGAATTTTTGAATAATTAATAAGTGCCATATGTATTATCTAATGATAAGCAAAAAGTTTGTTTAATTTTTCACTTTGGTAAAAGAATTGCCCAGTTTATTTTATAATTCTCTCAAAAATTCTCCCTTGACTATTTCAAACCAGCAGTTGTCACTCCATAAAAATGGGACCGTGACCTTCATGCCTAGAGGCCTTGTCCTCAGCTCGTCCATGATCAGGTTTCACCATAGATTTACTTTCCAAAGCTCAGGACAAGGATCCATCCAGTCTGTCTCTTCAGAACAGGCTAATTTAGATCATTGCTTGACCCAAAATAGTTTCCCATCAAAGGGTTCCAAAGACCAGTTTCTTTCCTTTATGAGTCTCATATTTATTAGCTGTCAATTAAATTTTCACTAAGACCTCTTAACAAGATTCTTGTGCTCACTTTGACCCACCCAGGTTTTCCGTACATTTTTAGCTGAAAATATTTGAAAAAATATGCTGCTTTCCTCCCACAAAAAAATTACACATTTCAAATGACTAACTTTCTTTTTGGGATTTAAAGTAAAATGACAAAACCTGGTCTTTGATATCCTGCAGTGTCTAATATATTATTTCCCTCAAGCTCTATCCTGGACCACTGTGGAGTTACTGCTTTTTCTTCCCACTTTTATGAGAGGATACTATTCCCTCTTTTCCTTTTCATTAACCCTTATGATGCTTCTGTGCCCAGTTAATTTCAGGGCATT